TGCTAGAGATTATGGCAACAAGTATGAGTTATCACCAACATTTTCATATGATTAACAAAGCTCTCATATCCTATTTTTGCACACAGCTGTCTAAACCATAATAAGAGTGATAAACAAACTAAGAACTTATTCATAAAGACCAGTCACGCAGAGGTTAACACTAACTGAGGAGATCAACTACAAAAAGAGAGTAAATCTAAGAAGCAGCACTAGAAAACATATAACGAAAGCAAATGACATAAACTCACCTCCAAACACATTGGGTGTCTATGTGGTGTAAGTGGAGGATGCATCTTCTACTTCTGTAAGAAAAAGAAAAGAAAGAAAATCAACTTCGGTAAAAATCAGATCTTTAACCACTCTGCTAAAAACCCAGAAGGAAATAAAAGCACAACCAATATATAAAGCATAAACCCAGATTCGGAGTCAGAGGAGCAAGCCAAAGAGACTATGGTTGTTTTTACTCAGAAATCAGAAGTAACCATTTTTCTTAAAACGATTCCTAAAATGTAATCTGGAGTTTCTGATCTCAATCAGGGTCACGCGTTAGAAGATCAAATGGATTCAATTTTAACAATTTAACAAGACAGGAGAGAACCACATGATTTCAATAACACATCGGTTTGAAATCAAAATAAGTAACCTAATCGAAGAAGAATCATGAAGAACGAGAAAAGGTAAATTACCTTGATTTGGTGTCTATCACCTGAATTCGAGCTACAGACCTCAGAATCACTGAAATGGCGAAAGAGAGAGAGCGATCGAACGAGAGTCAATGAAGTTATGAGAAAAGAGCCGGGTCAAATTTTGCATATTAATGGGCCTTGTTTAACTTATTGGGTTAATGGGCCTTATTCATTTTCTTAAACGCAGCGTTTATAGTATGCTTTGGATGAGAAAAATCAGACAGTCATCAGAAGGAAAATTGAGGACAGAGAGAAGCGCAACTATTTCAGTCAGAGAAAGAAGAAGAAGAAGAAGAAGAATCGTACATTTTGCCTAATTGTGAAGTATCCACAGGTAACTCGAACACTTAAATGTTTTGATTTTCGAGAAAAAGCAACCTTTGATTCATAAAATAGTGAACAGGGATTTTCATTTGTGGGCGATGTTCATTTTTAAAAAAATTTCTGGTGCTTTCAGTTTGTTATAAATGCAGTGTTTATGAATTGTGAGCTGGAAAGGAGAAAGCTTTTACAAGATTTTGTGTTCTTAATCTTGTATGAATTGACTCCTCAGGATGCTCTACTTGAGATATTCACTACCTTATCTTCCTCAAACAAGGGAATCAGCTAAGCTCTTCTCCAAGAGGCCTAACAGCGTTGTGGTACTTATTTTCTAAGCCTCTTCTTTGTTCAAACACTTTTTTATCAGTCCCTTAGTGTCGAAGTTGAATAATTTTCCACAGGTTTGTGCGGCGAGAGGTCCAAGACCTCGATCTCCTCGAGTGTGGAAAACAAGGAAGAAGATTGGAAGCATCTCCAAAGCTGCCAAGATGATTTCTTGTGTAATGCTCTTTGAAACTTCCAGTCTCTTCATATGTTTCTTGTAGAGTCAATGGTTCTTAAGATGATGAAAATCTTGCTATCTGCAGATAAAAGAATTGTCAAATGTTAAAGAAGAAGTTTACGGAGCGCTTGATTCCTTCATTGCCTGGGAATTAGAGTTCCCTATTGTTATAGTTAAGAAGGCATTAGCTATTCTTGAAGATCAAAGAGAATGGAAGAAGATTATTCAGGTAATTTTTTACAAAGCAAGAAAGAAGCTTCTTAGTTTAGTGAGGTGATAAAAAGAAATGTTTTTTTTTGTGATTTTGTTAGGTGACAAAATGGATGCTGAGCAAAGGCCAAGGAAGAACAATGGGAACATACTTCTCATTACTAAATGCTTTAGCAGAAGATAATCGGCTTGACGAAGCTGAGGAGTTGTGGAACAAACTGTTCATGCAACATTTAGAAGGAACTCCAAGAAAGTTCTTCAACAAAATGATCTCTATCTATTACAAGCGAGACATGCACCATAAACTCTTCGAGGTAAAGTAAAAAGGCTTCTTAGTAATTGCAACCACCAGAGAGATTCTTTCTTCTTCTTAGTGTTTGATGCTTTCTTTCTCAGGTGTTTGCTGACATGGAGGAGCTTGGAGTGAAGCCAAACATTGCGATTGTGTCTATGGTTGGGAAAGTGTTTATGAAACTTGAGATGACGGATAAGTACGAGAAGCTGATGAAGAAGTATCCTCCACCACAATGGGAGTTCAGATACATCAAAGGAAGACGTGTTAAGGTCAAGGCCAAGCAGTTAAGTGAGCTGAGCGATGGTGAAGGTGGTGTTAGCAGTGACGAGGATAAGACTGATAATGAGATTGAGATTAAATCTGAAATATTGTCAGATGAGGAAGCAAACCAAGATGGTGAGGATCTCAGTGAAGAGGAAGAAGAAGAAGAAGAAGAAAAAGAAAAAGAGCTTTTGGGTGGGAATCAAGTACAGATTGTAACTTCCGGACTTGGTCATTTGGACTCTTCTTGACTTAATAGTGTTTGCTTCATTCATGAGCTTTTGAGATGGTATCTACTAAGGAAAAGAGATCGACGGCCAAAGTCTCCAAAGAAGCTTTCTTGGACCTGAGCTTTACGAAAACAAGATCAAGAAATTTGTGAACTTTTTGAAGTAAAGAGCTTAGGAGAGTCAAGAACAAGACTTAAATTGAAGAGTCAACTAATGTAAAAACCAAGGCAAAAGAACAAATAAAGGTCAAGTCTTTGAGTATCATTCTGTAATCTTTAAAGACCAAAAAACTAATGTTGAATCTTTTTTTGTTTCTCACTCGTCATCTGATCCAGACTCTTCAGAACTCGATTCCTTCTTGCTCACTTTCTTCTTGGAACCTCTCTTCTTATCTTCCTCATCCTCACTGTATTCACTTTCGTAATCCTCTTCTTCAACTTCATCTTCCTCTTCATCCATACCTTCTTCTGCAACCTCCTCCAAATCACGGGTTCTTTTCAAAATCTCAACTTTCAATGCTGTCCTCTGGTCACAACCAATCCAAGTATCGCTTACGCAGAAGCAAGTCAAGTTATAAGAACCTTCCTCAGGTGCTAAGATTCTCCCCATCACCAATCTTGACCCACTCTTAACTTTCTCAACAGCTTCTCTCACTGCATCATTCTTTGCCTCCACACTTGCTCCTAAACTTTCCATGGTCTCACTAATAGCATTCGACGCAGCGGTTATAGCTCCAGCTTCGTCCATGAAACTAACCTTCTGAAAGAACCAGACACTGTTCGAATCCGCAAGAAGAATCCAAAAGCTTTCCTCTTTGTGGAAAGGAAAGTAAGGAGAGTGAGGAATAGCTCCAATGAGTCCATTGGGACGTTTCAGAGTGATCCAAGCTTGAACAGTCGTGACGTCGCCTTCTTGAATACCTTCTTCGCCTTCTGTTTTGCAAGCCACTTCTACTTTCAGAGAAGGTATCATTTCCAACACCTTTTCGACGTCTAGGACATCGGTTTCCGACAAACTTGCAGCCTCTCTGAGCATCTTAGAACGCTCTTCCGAGCTCAGTTCTTGAAACTCTTGGAATGATTTAACCTCGGACACTATCTTCTGAGCGATGGAGTCGTTGAAATGAGGGAGTTGCAAGAAAGGAGCAGTGCCTTCTGGTGATGACTTCCTTGCACTAAGAGGAACAGCCTGCAATTAAACAACAACACTAACTAAGCTATACAAAATCTCAACCTTTATTGGGAAAATTTTGGAAAAGTCTTACCTGAACAATACATTGAGATAGCTCCATTACTCCGAGTGCAGGACTTAACCATCCACGCCCTTGTTCATCACGGGGAATAACAGCCATCTGCAAGAAACTCACAATATCATAAAGTTATCATCATCAACTTTGTAATAAGCTTTAATTTATCAGATACATACAATGTACAAAGAAAAAATAGAGATTGTGTATAAGACCTTCATTAAATCTTCAAGAAGACGTGGTGCAAACTCAAGCACACGCCTGAAATCTTGTTGCAGAGTCAGAGACAGAGCTGTTGAGTCACGAGTTAACTGTTTCTGTATCAAAAGCTCAGCCTGTTGCAGATAATGTGTTAGCATTTTTTCTCAAAATTTGTTCAATACTTTGCGTTATATAACGTGTTAGGAAAAAATATTGACCTTGATAAGTGCAGGTTCTTGTTTCCAAAACTTAGCTTCATCTTGCTTCATCTTCTTAGGATCCAGATTTAGCTCACTTTTGACAGATGTATAGAGTTTCTTCATAGACTCATCGTCGGTTTTACGAACTGGAATCTCTGCGTACTCAGCTGCTTTGATGAAAACTTCCATAACTTTTCTTGAAGTCAAAGAAGATTTCATTAACTCGAAATATGCTTGACGAGTTTGGAGCTTAACGTAGCTCCCTGTATACTTTGATGATCTCCAGAGATAGATGGAGGCGATCACTAGTGGCAAAAGAATACAGAAACCAACTGTACACAGCAACAACACCCCACCAGAATCTCCATCCATGCCTAGAATGAATTGAGGAAGAGCAATTCCCAATTTGTAACCCTGCATCAATCACATTTTACATTTTCATGAAATACTTTTGCAAAACTGAAACTCTCATCTTGATTACAGCTTAGTATTATAACATGTAATTCTGTGAGGACTATATGATTATTACCTGTCTACCATCAGGATGACCATACTTTTCGAAGTTTTCACGAGACAAAGGATCAGTTAAAGCTTGGTAAGCTTTAGCTATGGACTCCACAAAATATTTGTTTGCCTCTGTATATAGTTTACAGTAGACAAAATGAGCAATAATGAAACATATAACAAAATCTGTAATGAACCAAAAGGGAAGGATTATGAAAGCATTTTGGACCTGGATCTGGATTTTTATCAGGATGGTATTGAATAGAGAGTCTTCTATATGCTTTCTTGATTTCTGAATCTGTAGCACCAGGTTCTAATCCAAGTATACCGAATGGCTCAAAGAGTTGGCTCTGTAATATTATTAACCGAAGAAAATGCATCAAGCAAACGAAACAATTCCTAACCACAAGCAATCTCGGATCATGGTAATTACCTCACGGCTAATGTTCTTAGTGTAAAAGATCAAGAAGATCATGACAAACCAGAGTAGCACAACTGTCAAGTTGCTGCATGAAGTGAAGTTAGAGATCTGCAGAAAAAGACCAAACCAAAGAGTTAAAAGAAGGTTTTTTGAAACAATTTTCAGTGAGGGAGGAAGAAAGATAAAGACTGACCCTTTTGAGAATGGATCTCTTGTACTTCCCTGAACGGTCACAGTCAAGACATTGACAGTGTATGCTCTTTTGTTTCTTGGAAAAAGCGCGGCTTAGCTTCACAAATGTATAAGGCACCAATGGGATTGCTATGATCGTCAGAATGAAAATGGGAAATAACGCTCCAGTCTCTTCTGGTTCTGACATCTTTGGACCCTTTTAAGATCTTTCTAGATCAGAGATCCTGCAGACAACAACAAAAGAAAAGCTTTGTTTTATAACCTGATGACATCTAAGAAATAGAGACAGGACCAGAAATACGTATGTCCTGTAACAATATCAAAATGGATTTATCAGCCATTGAGATTATGCTTCTCGATCACAACTTCTTTTCTCTTAGCTTCAGATTTTGTTCATACTTGAAAAAAATGTCTGGACCAATATGATCAATCAGAAGTACAAATATGAAGGAGATCGATAGGGATAAGTGGGCATAATTCCCAAAAAAATATCTATACTACAAAGAACAACCGGAAAACGTACGGATGCAAGGAAAATTCAGAAATGGATTCGAGCTAAGAAAAAATTTACCTTAATCGATAAGAAACTGAGAAGAAGAAGAAATTGTTGATTTTAGAATCGAATTGCGAAACTGAAGAAGACCAACCAAGAGGAAGTGAGGTTTATCAAGGGTGATGAATCAGAGATACCAATGAAAATTCGACGCGTGGCAAAATCAATTGGAGCATTAGGAAATTGAGTAATGACATTGACTCTGTTAAGATTCTTATAGACCAAAGAATCCACAAAGGATCTGTGAGTTTTTATGGTTGTGTTTGGCGATGGATCGTTTCGTATTCACCTCTGTGTTGTAAATTGGTTTTTGTTCAAAGAATCCACAAAGAATCCAACTTATTTTTAAGTTTTGTTAAGAAGAAAAAACAGATTTTGTTCTGAATTGGTGCAAGCAAGTGAAAGAGAAGATCAAAAACTCAGTAGCTGAGTGTTGTTTTTTCATAAAACCCCAATGTGAGAGCTAAAGCAACTAAATGGTTCTTCTCCACAAAAGCGTCGTCTTTTTCAAACGATTCTCGACCTCGACGACTCCATCGACATCCTCTGCTTCCGACTGGAAAACCCAATTGAACTTATCCCGATTAGCCACCGAAATCTCTTCAATCCTCTTACAACGTCGCAACTGGACACTTCATCTCAAACACGTCAAACCCAAACTCCCAAGGTCAACACTTTCACCGCCGATTTTCCTCCAGATCCTCCGCGAAACTCGAAAATCTCCTGAAACCGCTCTCGATTTCTTCGACTGGGCTCAAACCCATCTCCGGTTCGAGCCGGATCTTAAATCCCATTGCCGAGTAATCGAAGTTGCTACCGAATCAGGTCTCTTGGAACGAGCAGAAACACTCTTGCGTCCTCTGCTTGAAACCCATTCAGCGTCTATGATCGTAGGATCGATGCAACGGTGGTTTGAAGGTGAAGTCTCACTCTCTATCTCGCTTAGCTTAGTTCTTGAGTGTTATGCTTTAAAGGGTAGTCACCAAAACGGCTTGGAAGTGTTTGGCTTTATGAGAAGTTTGAGACTTTCACCTTCGCTTCGTGCTTATAACTCTCTTCTTGACTCTCTGGTTAAAGAGAATCTACTCTCGCCCAAGCACGCTTAACTGCGGAGTTCTGATGGGATCCGGTGCATTAGTGCTGGTATGATCGCACCCAGTTTGTTTATGACGCGCAAACGCATATATGCCTTTCCGAGAGGATCTTGAACGTTTATTCGGCGGCGTAGGCCCCACTTGATGCTTAGGCCCGATCCGGAGTCCTAAGTGACCCTTATGTGAGAGGGAGGATGGATGCATCCAAAAAACACTATGCATAGCACTTTCGATTCATTGATTTTGTGTCCGCACCAGAAAACGGCCCGGAAAAGCGTCCAAACGCCATTTTTTGGGGTCCAAACGATATTTTACGCCTAGAGCTCTTTTGGAGCTTCACGAAAAGTGGTTGGTGGCAGCATACGGCCTCACGGTCTTCCAGCTACGCATTTTGGAAGTTTCAGATAGAAATACAGAAAAAAATTAACAAAAAAAGGGGTGCAACACGAGGACTTCCCGGGAGGTCACCCATCCTAGTACTACTCTCGCCCAAGCACGCTTAACTGCGGAGTTCTGATGGGATCCGGTGCATTAGTGCTGGTATGATCGCACCCAGTTTGTTTATGACGCGCAAACGCATATATGCCTTTCCGAGAGGATCTTGAACGTTTATTCGGCGGCGTAGGCCCCACTTGATGCTTAGGCCCGATCCGGAGTCCTAAGTGACCCTTATGTGAGAGGGAGGATGGATGCATCCAAAAAACACTATGCATAGCACTTTCGATTCATTGATTTTGTGTCCGCACCAGAAAACGGCCCGGAAAAGCGTCCAAACGCCATTTTTTGGGGTCCAAACGATATTTTACGCCTAGAGCTCTTTTGGAGCTTCACGAAAAGTGGTTGGTGGCAGCATACGGCCTCACGGTCTTCCAGCTACGCATTTTGGAAGTTTCAGATAGAAATACAGAAAAAAATTAACAAAAAAAGGGGTGCAACACGAGGACTTCCCGGGAGGTAACATTACTTCAACGTAGAGCTTACACATTAACCAGAAATATAACACAAATGATCACACTTGCTACAACACAACAAACAAACAATCCAACAGCAATTGGTAAAGATTCAGATTTCATAAAAAAAAATCATTCTTTCAAGTGTAGAGAGGCAAAGTTGTCCAAGCACCAGAGACATGTCCATTTTCACAGACATAAGCACGAACCACTGGTTCACCATCATCATGAAACCCATAAACTCTTCTCAAGCAAAACGACGAATGCAAATCCCAAGTCTCGTCGCACAAACAAAACGCACATTTCAACCCTAAAATCTTACTCCTATTACCGTCGTTTATCGTTCGCCACACTCGAGACCTTTTGAAATCCTTGAACACGCCTCTGAACAACATGTAGCTTCGTTTCTCTTCCACGTGGATGCATCCAGGCCAATCGCAGATGTAGAGACAATCTCCTCGAAACCTGCTCGCGAGTAGCTTGTTGCCTTGTTCTCTGCTGAGATTCCTGGCGCCGGAAGCTAGATGAGATCCTAGAGATCGGCAAATCTTCCTTCGTTTCTTAACCGGAAGATCGCATCCAGGTCTGATCTCGCTGGTCTCGGTTTCTTCTTCTACGTCGACGGATTCTTCGACTTCGGGAGGAGCAGAAAGAGTGTCGGAGTAGAGATCGTCGTATAGAGACCAAAACGAAGACGTCTCTAAACCAGATCCGATTGGTTTCGAAACTTCGCCTTCGTCGCGAGCCGGATCTGTCGAATGAGGTTTCGGATTGAGTCTCTGGTGACTTTGATCGGGGCCGAGCTCACGTTCTAGACCGAAATCGGAGTTTTCGAGGAGAATCCCGGCGTGGAAGAGGCCAGGGCAGCAGACGGCGAGTTTGTAGAGAGAAGCCCAACCGCCGGGAGGAGGAGGAGACGAATCCTCGGCGGCTGAAGATGAAGAAGCTGAGGCGGCGGAGGGGGGAGGGAGGAGGAGATCAGAGATGACGGTGGGGATTGCGGAATAGCACTGCGATTTCCAGCAGACGTTCCGTACGATTGATGAGAATTTGGTGCAGACGCAGGCGAGACGAGCCCAGCTTCTCGGATCATCTTGGAGCTTGAAGAAGATGTTGAAAACAACGTCTTCTGGTACGAGAGAGAAGGTAGATTCCGCCATTGATGATCACTCTCTCTCTCTCAGCCTCTGATATCAGATTTTATCCAATTCGCTCTTTGCTTAGATTTGGGGATTTTTATTTCTTATATAACCAGTATTAAATTATAAATTGTACCGTTATAGATAGATCCGGTTCGCGTAAACAGGAATGATTTCATCCACTTAAGCCTTTCTGGGGTGGGTCAGGGTCACAGTTACACTCAGTCTCACATTCACACACTCAGTAATAATGCGTAACACAAGGCAACAAACAGAAACGAGATCTTTAGAGAATCTTGAACACATACCATTGCAGTGAATATTCAAAAAAAAGAAAATACAACTTGTTTTTAGTCAAACGAACAGCATAAGATAGATATGATTTTAGGAGAATCTTCCGACAGAACCCAGCTTTTTTACCTGATGAGTGCTTTTTTTTTGCTTACCTGTAAACAAACAGTTGGTGTGAGCTTCAGACAAGGAACAAGAATGCTCAAAACAAGTGAAAGAGAGTGAGTGTAGCGTTGCATTACCGAGATGGACTTCTGCTTCTGCTCTTGCTCCTGCTACGGATAGGGCTCTTGGCTGGACTCAGCTTGCTAGGGCTCTTGCTTGCTTCCTTCTGAACCTGCAAACACAAAAAAGACGATGATGAGTATAATTAGCTTAGACAGATCTTGTCTTCTTGTCTTTTGGATAGTAATACAGAGCTGAGTAAAGTGTATCTCCGGTTAAAGATCACTTACAGGAGGCAGAGGAGATCTTGACCTTGAACGAGATCTGCAAAAGTCCGAGAAACAAATCCAGTTTTAGTAATCCAATATGTTCCCGTGTATAATAGCTGTGTTTCACCAAGAGCCTTGATGCCTCTCACTCATCCCATGTCACAGAGATGCAAAAAATGTTATGAAAAGAAAGCAAAACAAAACATAAGACGATTTCTAGCAGAGCATAAACTAAAGACACACAGGCTTTTCTAGGTCGAAATAACTGAGGGCAGATATGAAAGTCTAATTTCTATCAAACCATGTGTCCAAGAACAGCATCGGTTCCATGAGAATTCCACAACGCTTGACGAATTTGCAGGTAATCAAAATATCTTTTCCTAGCTCTCATCCATGGATCCATATTGATGACACTATAACAATGCGATCCAATGTCTCTCCACTGTTACGCATATAGCAGCAACGGATATTATCAGAAAAAACAAGGAGACGACAAAGTTTCATTTCCAAAATTGCCCATCTAAGAAAGTGCATAATCATATACCTCTGGAGACGAAACACTTGTGTACAACCAACCAAGAAATCCATGATCCAGATATTAATTCCCATATTCTACTTCATGTATGTATATCCGTATCTAGGAAACAAAACCATTCTCAGCAATAAAAGGCCAAACTTTCATAGGGAAACAAATAGTAGCCCTAACTAGAACTAAGCAATCATCCTTCTCAGTCAACAACTCTGAAGGCAATCAAGTGACTTCTTTTTATGATATGTCAACAAACTTCAAGGGAAGAGCTAAAGCCTAAGCTATGATAGCTTGGTGAATCTTCAGCATAAACATAAAAGAGGAAATGAAACATACCCTCGAGGAGATGGTGACCTCGACTTAGAGAGAGAGCGAGGCGATCTCGATGTAGACTTTCCAGGAGATCTACGCGAAGATTTACCCTTTGGGCTCCTGCTCCTGCTTCTGCTGCGGCTGCGACTACGGCTGCGGCTCCTCCCACGGCTACGGCTACGGCTGCGGCTACGGCTCCTAGAATAGGATCTGCCACGGCTAGGGCTCCTCGAATCCCTCCTTGAATCATATTCTCTAACCTATAATGATATGGGAAAATGCTGAGTACAACGAAAAAGAATTCACTTCTCAGAGTACTTGGCTTTGAATTAGCATACCCGGACATATCCATGAGAAAACGCATTCCGAAACTCTGTGTCGTCCAGCTTTTTTACCTGTAGAAAAACGAAGAATATACTCATGAGTAATCAAAAATTAACAAATTCTCACCAACACAAATAAAGAATGATAGGAACAAGAAGAACATCTCACCGCGTACTTCATGTCCTCGTAGCTGGTATAATCTACGATTCCAGTGGTACCTGTATATAAAGAGTCCAAGATATATGGAATTTTAAGGCAGGCCAAAGACTACTATAGACGCGGGAAAAAATACAAAAAAAGCTTTAGGCACATCTCTATTCTCGGGTGAGATATGAGGACTTACCTCTACCATCACGGAACACTTGAGAGAAACAGACTTCTCCTCCTTTACGCATGTGATCCTACAGAACAAACAGAAATGGTTATGTCAAAAACTCATACATCTTTGAGAATAATAATTGTCAGCAATTGTATAGTCACCTTGAGGTCTTGCCAGGAAGCAGATGAAGGTAATCCTGACACCACAACTGTATAGTGAAAAAATATTAAGTTAGAGATTCTTCCTAAAACATTGAGCGCACTAATCCCTAAACATATCATACTTACCGCGGAACTCGGATCTCCTAGATGGTCCACGCCCACGACCGCCACCGTCACCACCATCCCGACCATCCCGACCACCACGACTACCACCACCGTAACTGCTACGAGCATCATTTGATGAACGCCTCCCACCATGAGCTAGTTCCACCTGCAGTGCCAAAAATCCAGCGTCCAGTAAAAAAAAAACAATTTAAATAGCAAAGTTTGTGTTGAAACTCTGGGATTTGATGATTCACAAACCCGTAAGCGATGTCCATCAAAGTCATAACCATCACGGCCATGAATTGCATCTTCAGCGTCCCGAGCATCTTCAAACTAAAGCAAATATGTCACACATCAGATTATAAATCGTTCACTGTGGTTGTGGCAGTGATTCACAAAGAGTGACAAAAAACATGATGTTGCATAATAAGCTGACCTCAACGAATGCATAGCCTGGAGGCCTTGGTGGAATCTTCAAATCAATTTGAACAACAGGTCCATACTGCAAAATAGAAAAAAGGAAAAACAATTCTTACTGAAATTTGCTTGAAATAATCACAATCCAATATATGCAAGAAAAATTGTAACAGCTAATTACATGTGCCCTGCCATGTGAAAACCAATTGTAGATGTATCAGAAACGATTGATTTACCTTACTGAACAAATCTTCAACTTCTCTCTCGCGGATATCGCCAGGAAGGTTCCCGACGTAAATAGTTCTACTCGAACGGCTGCTCATTTTTCCTTTAACAAAAAAAACAAAAACATTAATAAAATCGAAACAGAGAAGCGTTCACACACACACACACACACACACAAATCAATTGGACGACGATCAACCAAAGAGACAAGGAAAAACAAAAACCTAGAACCAACGAGAATTGACTAGTCGACCATATATGAATTAAATTCCGGTAACGATTCCGATCACCTGAAAGAAGAATTCCGATGGAACAGAAGAAATAGAGACGCGTAAGTCTCACCTGAATGGAAATTGAGATCTGGGCTGAGCGGAAAAAAGCTCCCGAAAGTAGAGACTCAACTGGCTAGGGCTTTCGAATTGCGGAGAGGTTAATAGCAGAGAGGTATCACGTGTGTCACGTGACCTTTTTTTAGATTATCTTAACGACGTTGTAAGTAAAATACATTGCGTGTACGTATAAATATACACCTGACTCTGACCCGTTTGGTAAACTAAATTATGTGAATGAAACAAAATAAATTGCGAAAATTATGAATTTGTAAAACTATACAGTATTATTTGATTACACGAAATCGATTAGTCACGTTTTATAACTTTTACACGATTACACGAAACTATAATTGGCTTTTACAGCATACATGTGATGATTATATTTATTTTTTTGCATAGGCATGAAAATATAAAATTCGCTTTACGATACATACATACATGTGATCACTATACTGTATATTCTTCCCAGTTAGTTGGCTTTTTGTTTGCGCGATTACGAAAGCCAATCAAATCACTTAAACCCAAAAGAGTTTTTCGATCTTCTCCAAGAACTCGAAAAACTACCGATCCATTCCCAAAATCAGGATTGCCTCAAGAATTTTTGATCTTTTTTTCACTTTCTGTGATCTACAAAGTCCTCACCTTTAACGATGTCTCAGAAACATCTGGAAACGTCACGAAGCTCAATCGAATCTTGCACATTACAGCTCCTCTCATGGCGCCCATTTCACCGCTCCAAAACCCTAGACTCACCCGAGCAGACGTCGTCACAGAGACCTTACGGCTCCATTTCGACCAAACGCCCTTGCTTCTCCGATCGCTCCACTTCTTTCTCCATCGAAGCTATGAGCCGTCTCTCTCTCGCCGACGAAGACAACAATGGAGCGAAGTTATCGGCTTCGAATTACAGCAATAAGGGGAGTTTCCGGTTAGTAGCGAGAAAGCGACGCCGTCGCAATTCGAGATCGGTGTCTGGTCGGAGTAGTGATCGGAGTGGGACTCTGAGATGCTGCTCGATCGGAGCTCATGGGACTTGCTCGGATTTGCCTTTCGCCGTCGGTACAGATTCGAGTGGTGAGCTGTTTAGCGAAGCGAATTGGGCTTCCGATGTGAGCGAGGCGAGGAATTCGCGGAGAGAGCGGCGGGATTCCGGCGGAGAGAAGGAAGCAGCTTCCGGATTTGGATTCGCCGTTGGAATCGACCCGATGGGAAATGAATCTGGGTATGGTAGCGAACCTGGATACAGAGGTGATGCTGAGTTTGGTTATGGTGATGAATTCGACGATGAAGAAGAAGATGTGAAGCCATTGTTCTGGGGAGGTAAATTCCAATACTTTTTAGCAAAAATGTGTTCGGTCTTGAGATTTATGTGATTCTTGTTCAAATGCTATGAAGGTTTTAAGGATTGGTTAGATATGATATACGTTGAAACTTTAGGTTGATGTCATTATTAGCAAAGATGGAAGTTTTGGTGTTATTTGCCACTGCGGTTTGCTCTGTTTTTCTATGGTAAATTTCAAGACTTTTAGCAATTGTGTTCCATCTTGAGCTTCATTGGTTTTTGGAAGTTTCAAATGTGAATCTTGTTAAAATGCTATGATGATTTGGGGATTGATGTTCATTGCCTCATTGGTTAGATATGAATATGATATAGGTTGGAAATTAAGATTGATGCCTTTGTTACCAAAAATGGACTTGTTCTGATCAACAATGACTTTGATTTTGCTATTGCTTGTCTATGGTCATGATATAGATAAGCTATAGATCCTTGATGGTGCATTGTGGATTTGAGTTAGCATGCATGTTAGGTTTTTGTCTGAAATGTTGTAATCTTGCTTGTTGATTGGTGACTGTTTTGGTATTGGAGCAGATACAGAGTCAACAATGGAGATGTCTGGTGATACGAAATTCTCAGAGAGTAAACCTCAGTTCAGGTGCCGCCGCAGAAGACAACATGACTTCAAAACTGTTGACTCCATGAGATAAATAACAAACAACACATCTGCGTCGCAGTTATTTCTAACAAGTTGCTAACAGATACCAAGACTTTCCAGGTTTGTATGTATTTTACTAACACATGGAAATTTAAAGAGCTTTTCCTCAAGCGATTTTTTTAATAGCTCTGTACCCTTTTTCGTACTTCGATTGCTAAAAAACAAAATTTGGTGCTTAATATCTAAGGCTAACTTACTTATTTAAGACTAACTTATGTCGTCTTGATTTGATCTCTTGTTACCATCATCCTTGACAGCGTAACGTGCTACGACTAAATTAGTTTTATATTAGTTTTCCCACCATAATTTCCAAGTCGAGTTTAACTTACGGTGACGACTTGACCCACAAATACGACTTTTTCAACGCTCTCTCCACACCATAAATCATCTGAGTTTCTCATAAACTCAAATATGTAAACCAAAGCCAATTTACAGATTATAGAGCCATGTTTGTGAAGCTCCTCACAACGGTCTTCTTCTTCATTAGCCTACTTTCTCAATTCCTAAAATCCTCTTCCCAAACTCTTGACTTCACTTACAATGGCTTCCCTCCTCCACTGAGTGACATATCTCTCCAAGGGATCGCCACCGTCACACCCAACGGTTTACTGAAGCTAACCACACAACCGTGCAGCAAACCGGTCACGCTTTCTATACCAAACCTGTCCGGTTCAAAGATTCTCCAAACGCACCGTCTCGTCATTCTCCACAACCTTTGTCTTCGCTATCCACTCTCAGATCGCGATCTTAGCGGACACGGCATAGCCTTTGTCGTCGCTCCTAACGCAAGCCTCCCATTCGCCGGTGCCAGCCAATACATGGGTCTCTTCAACGTCACGAACAACGGTGATGACACAAATCACGTGTTCGCTGTCGAATTAGACACGATTCATATTCCGAGTTCAATGATTCCGACGATAACCATGTCGGAATCGATATCAACAGCTTGAGTCAGTAAAAAGTTCGACCGGCTGGATACTGGGACGAGAGAGGTCAGTTTAAGAATCTGAAGTTTGATCAGTCGCAGCGGATGCAGGTTTGGGTCGATTACGATGGCTTACACATCAAATCGATGTAACGATGGCTCCCTTCAACAAAGGATAAACCTAGAAAACCGCTTGTTTCTACTGTCAGAGATCTATCTTCGGTTCTTTTGCAAGATATGTTCGTAGGTTTCTCGTCTGCGACCGGTTCTGTTGTGTCGGAACATTTTGTTCTTGGGTGGAGTTTCCAGGTGAAGGGGAAGCTCCACCGTTGGCATTATCGGAAACTTCCGAATCTTCCGAGGTTTGGGCCCACCAAAATACAGAGGTTCTACAAGAACGGATGCCGTATGCCCTCTTGTTGATTCCTGTCTTGTTTATTATCTTGCTCGTATTCCTGGTGCGATTCATTGTGAGGAGGAGGAGGAAGTTCGCCGAGGAGATCGAAGATTGGGAAACAGAGTTCGCCAAGATTCGAATGAAGTTCAAGGATTTATACTATGCCACCAAAGGGTTCAAGGAGAAGGCCTTCTCGGATCGGGCGGGTTTGGGAGCGTTTACAAAGGTGTCATGCCCAAGACGAAGAAGGAAGATCGCCGTGAAAAGAGTCTCGAACGAATCCCGACAAGGGTTGAAAGAGTTTGTGTCTGAGATCGTGAGTATTGGTCGGATGAGTCACCGGAACTTAGTCCCTCTCTTGGGTTATTGCCGCCGGAAAAACGAGCTTCTTTTGGTGTACGACTACATGCCCAATGGAAGCTTAGATAAGTATTTGTATAATAGTCCAGAGGTAACCCTCGACTGGAAACAGAGGTTTAAAGTCATCAAGGGTAGCCTCTGCCTTACTCTACCTCCATGAAGAATGGGAACAAGTGGTGATTCACCGTGACGTCAAAGCCAGCAACGTCTTGTTAGATGCGGAACACAATGGGAGACTCGGAGACTTCGGTTTAGCTCGGTTGTGCGGTCACGGTACGGATCCTCTAACCACGCACGTCGCTGGAACATGGGGATACTTATCCCCCGATCACATCAGGACAGGAAGGGCCACGACTGCAACCGATGTTTTTGCGTTTGGGGTGCTCCTACTTGAAGTGGCGTGCGGCAGACGTCCTATCGAGTATCAGAACGATAGTGGTGAGAGGGTCTTCCTCGTGGATACGGTTTTTGGATTTTGGAATGGAGGAAACATTTTGGATGCCAAGGATCCCAATATAGGGTTTGAGTGTGAAGAAAGAGAAGTCGAGATGGTATTGAAGATAGGTTTGTTGTGCTCTCACTCCGACCCACATGCTAGACCAACTATGAGACAAGTGTTGAATTACCTAAACGGAGATGCAACGTTACCAGATTTGTCACCGTTGGACTTGCGTGGGAACGGGATAATGTTGGGAATTCACCACAGAGTTACTGAGTTAGTTTTGTCTAACGGTGGATCTTCAATGGTTGACTCGGTACTCTCCGGCGGAAGATGATTATGTTTATGTACGTTTGTGTCTTACAATTCATATATGTATATTGAAAGAAATATATTTATCTGCACCAACAGCAATATATGGCCTAATCTAGCGTCAATAAAATAAAGATAATTTAATCACTAAAACATATTGTTGGATTAACCCCTAGCATTAGTCGGAAAGTATTATAAACTCATGATAAGAAGAAGTTCACTTTGTAGCATTTGAGACTGACCGGATCAACCGATGCTGTTAAATTAACATAACGAACTCGATTTTCTCTCCCATTACTATCATCCGTGACAGCAAAACATGGCTGTCTAGGTACCAAAGTCCTTATGGACTTGATTGTCATAGCTTATAGTGAAGCTGTAGCCTGTAGATCTAAGGAGCAAAAGTAGTGAATGGTTGGTTGTTAATTAGTAAACGGATGAAATGTTAGTGGAAGTGCTAAGAGCTGTTAGACCAAAAAATATTAAAATCGATATAATTACATTAATTGTTAAAAAAAAAAAAGACACGACTTAAACAAAATAAGTCCAAAAAGTAACTAGAAAAACATTCAAGCCTACGAAAAAGAGCAACCCCCACAAAATTTTACTGAAATAATTAGCATGCAACATGTTTTTTAGCTGGTTTTTGGAAGTATCAAATGTGAATCTTGTTCAAATGCTATGAATTTGAGAGTTGATGACCATTGGTTAGATATGATATAGGTTGATGTCTTTTAAGAGCAAAGATGGAAATTTTGGGGTTATTTGTCACTTGTTCAGATTAGTGACTCTGATTTGCTCTGTTTTTCTATGGTAAATTTCAAGACTTTTAGCAATTGTGTTCCATCTTGAGATTCGTGCTTTTTGGAAGTTTCAAATGTGAATCTTGTTAAAATGCTATGAAGATTTGGGGATTAATGATCATTACAGCATTGGTTAGATATGATATATAGGTTGAAGATGTAGATTGATACCTTTGTCACTAAAAATGGAATTTTGGTGAAAAATTTGAGTTTGAATTTGCTCTGCTTGTCTATGGTCATGATATAGATAAGCTATAGATCCTTGATGGTGCATTGTGGATTTGAGTTAGCATGCATGTTAGGTTTTTGTCTGAAATGTAATCTTGCTTGTTGATTGGTGACTGTTTTGGAATTGGAGCAGATACAGAGTCAACAATGGAGATGTCTGATGATACGAAATTCACAGAGAGTAAACCTCAGTTCAGGTGCCGAGCGCAGAAGACAACATGACTACAAAACTGTTGATTCCATGAGATAAACACAAACAACACATCTAAATGTATTAACGATTTTTAGCAATTTTTTAAAGCTTTCTTCCGTGGAAAACCTCGTTTGGAGAGCATAGAGGTCTCTAGCACTAGCAGTTAGAATAGAAGCTTTCCTTGCTCCTTTTCTGCTCAATTGATTATTGTAAATACAAAAAGAATCCGTCCAGTGTGAACGATCGAAATATCGAACTGTGGACTCAGAAATCAGCTCTATAGACGTAGCTAGTCAGTACCAAAAACATCACCATGACACCATTAATTCGTCAACTCTGATAGATAAAGTCAACCATCAATTGACTATATATGATTACTGATTAGCTTTTTAAAAGCAGTAATACACATTTCCACCATGAATTTCAGATTGGGTTAAACCCATGGTAACGACTTTTCCACGCTCTTTTCGCATAAGGCCATGCAGTGGGCTGTGGGCGCTAGAACATAGCTTTAGTCAACCCACGTGAGTGATGACAAAAAAAAAAAGAGTCAAACCACGTAAGAAAGTCTCGGTTAGACTCCGATTCTCTCACGACGTTCGTAGAAGACTTCAGTCTCTCACGACGTTCGTAGAAGACTTCTGTCTCTCACGACGTTCTAAGATTCCGATTCTCATAATATATAAACCAAAGCCTAAACAAAAATAAATAAGAAGAATTACAGAGCCATGTACGTTAAGCTTCTTACCATCGTCTTCTTCTTGAGCATACTCTATCAATTCAAACAATCTTCTTCCAAAATTCTCAACTTCACTTACAATGGCTTCCGTCGTCCACTAACTGCATACCTCCAAGGGATCGCCACCGTCACACCCAACGGTCTCTTAAAGCTAACCGACAGCAACCTTGCAGCAAACCGGTCACGCATTCTATACCCAAACCAATCCGGTTCAAAGATTCTCCAAACGGCACCGTCTCGTCCTTCTCTACAACCTTTGTCTTCGCCATCAACCCTGCTCCCGATACTTAGCGGCCACGGCATGGCCTTTGTCGTCGCTCCTAGCTTCCGCGACCCATTCGCCACTCCCAGCCAATACCTCGGGCTCTTCAACATCAAAACAACGGTAATGACACAAATCATGTCTTCGCCGTTGAATTAGACACGATTCGAGTACCGAGTTCAATGAAACGAACAATAACCATGTCGGAATCGATATCAACAGCTTGATGTCAGTAAAGTTCGCCGGCTGGGTATTGGGACGAGACAGGTCAGTTTAAGAATCTGACTTTGATCAGTCGTAAGCCGATGCAGGTTTGGGTCGATTACGATGGTCTTTCGCATAAAATCGATGTGACGATGGCTCCGTTCAACGAGGATAAACCTAGAAAACCGCTTGTTTCTACTGTCAAGGATCTATCTTCGGTTCTTTTGCAAGATATGTTCGTTGGTTTCTCGTCTTCGACTGGTCTATTGCGTCGGAACATTTTGTTCTGGGTGGAGTTTCAGGTGAAGGGAAAAGCTCCGCCGTTGGCATTATCGGAACTTCCAAAACTTCCGAAGTTTCCAAGGTCTAGGCCCACGACCATACAGAGGTTCTACAAGAAGGGATGCCATTAATCGCCCTCTTGTTGATTCCGGTCTTGTTTATTTTCTTGGTCGTATTCCTCGTGCGATTCATTGTGAGGAGGAGGAGAAAGTTCGCCGAGGAGATCGAAGATTGGGAAACAGAGTTCGCAAGATTCGATGAAGTTCAAGGATTTATACTATGCCACCAAAGGGTTCAAGAAGAAGGCCTTCTCGGATCAGGCGGGTTTGGAAGCGTTTACAAAGGTGTCATGCCAAGACGAAGAAGAAGATCGCCGTGAAAAGAGTCTCAACGAATCCCGACAAGGGTTGAAAGAGTTTGTGTCTGAGATCGTGAGTATTGGTCGGATGAGTCACCGGAACTTAGTCCCTCTCTTGGGTTATTGCCGCCGAAAAGACGAGCTTCTTTTGGTGTACGACTACATGCCCAACGGAAGCTTAGACAAATATCTGCACAATAATCCAGAGGTAACCTCGACTGGAAACAGAGGTTTAAAGTCATCAAAGGTGTGGCCTCTGCTTGTTCTTCCTCCACGAGGAATGGGAACAAGTGGTGATTCACCGCGACATCAAAGCCAGCAACGTCTTGTTAGACGCGGAGCACAATGGGAGACTCGGAGATTTCGGTTTAGCTCGGTTGTGCGGTCACGGGTCGGATCCTCTAACCACTCGTGTCGCTGGAACATGGGGATACTTAGCCCCTGATCACATCAGGACAGGAAAGGCCACGACCGCTACCGATGTTTTTGCGTTTGGGGTGCTCCTACTTGAAGTAGCGTGCGGTAGACGTCCTATCGAGATTCAGAACGAGAGTGGTGAGAGGGTCTTGCTGGTGGATTTGGTTTTTGGGTTTTGGAATGAGGGAAACATTTTGGATGCTAAAGGATCCGAATCTTGGGACAGAATGTGATCAAAGAGAGGTGGAAATGGTTTTGAAGCTAGGTTTGTTGTGCTCTCACTCCGACCCACAAGCTAGACCAACTATGAGACAAGTGTTGAATTATCTAAACGGAGATGCAATGTTACCAGATTTGTCACCATTTGGACTTGCGTGGGAACGAGATGATGCTGGGAATCCACACATAGTTGGTGAGTTAAGTTATGTCTAACGGTGGATCTTCCATGGTTGACTCTATACTCTCTGGTGGAAGGTGATTCTGTACGTTTGTGTGCGTCTTACAATTCATATATGTATATTGAAAGAAATGTATGTATATTGCATATCAAATTTATGTGTGTTTTCTGTTTCTGAAGACAGTGGATATAGGCCTCAATAATATTCATTTTAAAAACTTCTTCCAAATTTTGAAAGATTTTTCTTGTGAAAGATTTAAGAAAGGTTTTTGGCACTATGCTAACAAGTGGATCATGTTGACATAATTCCGTACAGTTTGAACGTAAAAAAGATCAGCTTACTTCTTTATTCAAGAAAATGTAGTTCATGAGAAGTTTGAATTGAAAACATAAATTAAAAAGCGTATAGTTATTTAAGGATAATTTTTCATTGCTTCCTGAGTTTAGTGCTCTGGCGAGATCGTATTGGACTTTTAATGTCTGAATGATCTAATAACTCCGGATCATCAGGATCTTGAAGAGAACTGATTAGCTTGCGTGGTGTGCTGAAGATGTTGAAACCTTCCGCATTCATCCGTGAACAACGCTCTCTCTGTGTTGCATCAGAAATGTTATAAGAAAAAAAAAATAGCAATCATAACAACAAAGATTGATTTGAGGATGCACATAAAGTTTCTCACCTCAAACTTCCCATTAGAAACCCTTCAATTTCATCGCTGTAATCATCTCCATTTTCACAAGGATCATAAGGGATAAGAGGTGAATCAGAGTTTGAGAGATAGTGGTGACTGGTGATACGAAATTCTCAAAGAGTAAACCTCAATTCAGGTGCTGCCGCAGAAGACAACATGACTACAAAACTGTTGATTCAATGAGATCAACACATTACCACTATCCTCCAGTCAAAGTCTATCCAAATGTTCGATTAGCTCATCTAATCAGCGCTGATGATGGATGATTCGCAGTTATTCTATCAAGTTGCTAACAGATATACCAAGACATTAGGTCTCGTTGGAGAAACTTTCACCTGAAAATTTAAGAGCTTCTTCTGCAGCAATTCTTTTAATACATCTGTACCCTTTTCTAACTTGCATTGCTAAAAAATTTGGCGTTTCATAAGTTAGAACAATTAATGTCGTTGATTTGAACTCCAGCTACTACCACCAGTGACAGCAAAACGAGGTACGAGAGGTCACCATGGATTCTGAATCGAATTAAATTTACGGTCACGACGTCTTCCCTCGACACAACGGAAGAAAGCTGAGACTTTTCTTCACTCTCTCCACACCGACGGAAGAAAGCTGAGACTTTTCTTCACTCTCTCCACACCATAAAACCGTCTTAGTTTCACATGAACTCTCAGATATCTAAACCAAACCAAACCCAAATTTTTTCTAGAAGAAAATATAGACTACATAGCAATGTTGGTCAAGCAGCTGGTCTTCTTCTTCTTCAGCCTAGTCTCTCAATTCCAAAAATCGTCTTCCCAAAGTCTTAACTTCATTTACAATGGCTTCCGTCCTCCATTAACTGACATATCTATCCAAGGGATCGCCGCCGTCACACCCAACGGTTTATTGCAGCTAACCAACGCAACCACTAGGAAAACCGGTCACGCTTTCTATACCAAACCAATCCGGTTCAAAGATTCTCCAAACGGCAACCGTCTCGTCCTTCTCCACAACCTTTGTCTTCGCCATCAACCCTCCTCGGCTCCAGTTATTGGCGGCTTGGGCATGCCTTTGTCGTCGCTCCTAAGCCCAGCCTCCCGTACGCCGATGCCAGCCAATACATGGGTCTCTTCAACGCCATGAACAACGGTAATGACACAAATCATGTGTTCGCTGTCGAATTAGACACGATTTCGAATTTGGAGTTAATGATATGACGAGAACCATGTCGGAATCGATATCAACAGCTTGATATCGATAAACAGTTCGAGAGCTGGATACTGGGACAAGACTGGTCAGTTTAAGAATCTGACTTTGATCAGTCGTAAGCGATGCAGGTTTGGATCGATTACGATGGTCTTTCGCATCAAATCGATGTGACGATGGCTCCGTTCAAGAGGATAAACCTAGAAAACCGCTTGTTTCTACTGTCAAGGATCTATCTTCGGTTCTGTTGCAAGACATGTTCGTTGGTTTCTCGTCTTCCACGGCCTTAATTATATCGTCGGATCATTTTGTTCTTGGGTGGAGTTTCGCGGTGAAGGGAAAAGCTCCGCCGTTGGCCTTATCGAAACTTCCGAAAATTCCGAGGTTTGGGCCCACCAAAATACAGAGGTTCTACAAGAACGGGATGGTATATTCCCTCGTGTTGATTCCGGTCTTGTTTATTTCTTCTCGTATTCCTGGTGCGATTCATTGTGAAGGAGAAGGAGGAGTTCGCGGAGGAGATCGAAGATTGGGAAACAGAGTTCGCCAAGATTCGGTTGAAGTTCAAGGACTTGTACTACGCCACCAAAGGGTTCAAGGAGAAGGGCCTTCTCGGATCCGGCGGGTTTGGGAGCGTTTACAAAGGTGTCATGCCAAGACGAAGAAGAAGATCGCCGTGAAAAGAGTCTCCAACGAATCCCGACAAGGTTTGAAAGAGTTTGTGTCTGAGATCGTGAGTATTGGTCGGATGAGTCACCGGAACTTAGTCCCTCTCTTGGGTTATTGCCGCCGGAAAACGAGCTTCTTCTAGTGTACGACTACATGCCCAATGGAAGCTTAGATAAGTATCTTTACAATAATCCGGAGGTAACACTCGACTGGAAACAGAGGTTTAAAGTCATCAAAGGCGTGGCCTCTGGCTTGTTCTTCCTCCACGAGGAATGGGAACAAGTGGTGATTCACCGCGACATCAAAGCCAGCAACGTCTTGTTAGACGCGGAGCTCAATGGGAGACTCGGAGACTTCGGTTTAGCTCGGTTGTGCGGTCACGGGTCGGATCCTCTGACCACTCGCGTCGCTGGAACGTGGGGATACTTAGCTCCTGATCACATCAGGACAGGAAAAGCCACGACCACTACCGATGTTTTTGCGTTTGGAGTGCTCCTACTTGAAGTAGCGTGCGGTAGGCGTCCTATAGAGATTCTGAGCGAGATTGATGAGAGGGTTTTGCTCGTGGACTTGGTTTTGGGGTTTTGGAATGGAGGAAATATTTTGGATGCTAAAGATCCGAATATAGGGACAGAGTATGAAGAAAGTGAGGTGGAGATGGTATTGAAGCTAGGTTTGTTGTGCGCTCACTCCGACCCATACGCTAGACCAACTATGAAACAAGTGTTGAATTATCTAAACGGAGATGCAATGTTACCAGATTTGTCACCGTTTGACTTTCGTGGAAACGGGATCCACCACGGACTTAGTGAGTTAAGCATGACGTATACCGGTGGATCTTCGATGGTTGACTCTGTACTCTCCGGCGGAAGGTGATCTTGAATATCAGAATGTTTGTGTGTTATATCTCCTATGTAGATTGAAAGAAATATGCATATTTCAGTGTTGTATGTAAACAGCTGGACGTAGAAGACCAGTTAACTCATGTATTCATAATAGATTCTATGAGATAAACACATAACAACACACATTACCACTATCCTCCAGTCAAAGCCAATCAAATGCGATTAGCTCATCTGCGCTGATGATGATCATTCGCAGTTATTCTAAATAAATACCAAGACAATAGGTCTGCACAGCCCTAAATCTCTCTACAGTAATACAAAATTACCAATCAAGCTCTCATTTTATCTCTTTCCATTTTTGAAATACATAGCAATTTTATTTATTTATGGAAGTTCAAAGCAATTTTTTCTAGAGCACTAAATTAAGTGCTCTTAGAATTTTCTCTCTTCTCTTTCCTTATTAATCTTTCAACATTTATTTTTTAATCTATTATTTATATATCTTAACTTTTTTGTTTTAATGTTATATTTAATGACACAATCTATAATAAAAAATCTTACAGCACTAAAATCTAGAATCACAGCCAAAATTTCTACATCATTAATTCTACAGCAAAAAAATTAAAGTTACAGTCACAACCAATCAGCAGGCCCTAGGTCTCCATGGAGAAAATTTCCAGATTTTTTTTTTTTTTTACATTAAGCATCTCCATCGAAGTCTCTGAATTTTAGGTGAGTCTCAAGCTGAAATTTTTGGCAACCTTCCTGATACCCATACGTGTCAGGTTGTGGTTGGTTGACTAAAAAACATTAAAAAATAAAAAGAGAAAAGGAATAGAAGATTTCTGATCCACAATCTCTCTTCTCCGATCCCAGATTCCGTCGGCTTCTTCAAGCGATTCGGTCGGTGATCTTTTTTATCTCTTGAAATGTTCTTTCTCTGATTCATTTTTTATGATTACAGTTTCCATCTTATCACGCCTGCCTGATGAATTCGATATATTGGTGTTAACGGTTTGGTTTGATTAAGGCTGGAAATTGTAGATGATTGTCTTCAATGGTTATTTGCTATGGATGTTAGTATTAACTTGTTGGCTTGTCAATTGTGTCGTGAATCATTAATCTGTGAGCTTTCTGCTTTTTGTATATATATATCATCAAACATATGTATAACATCGTTTGATGATTGAGAAGGATGATTTCTTTCTCGTATATGTAGACTCTTGTTGCTTTGCCTTCAGAAGAGATGATTGCTTAGATATAGTTAAAAGTTTGGCCTTTTATTGCTGAGAATGGTTTATTTCCTAGATACGGATGTACATCAAGTCTCTTGTTTTATGTTCTTCTCAAGATTCAACTGTATTAGCAATATATGTTTTTGCTTTTGCAATTTTAGGTTTTACATTAACTACAGTCTACAGCTGAAAGTATGTTCCTAACCGGTATCTCATCAATAACAAATTGCTAATTAGTTAATTTTTGAAGTAGTTACAAAGGTGATAGATTTGCTTGTCTTGTGCGTTGAGATTGTATATTCTGTTTTTCACAGGTCACACAGTTCGACGACTTTGTCCTGGACGTGAGCAAGACATGTCAAAGGTGATGGAGACATATTTTGTGTAACCTTCTCGTGAGCAAGCCAAGTCAAACACAAAGACAACTTGAGAGAGATTAAGCAAGCCATATATACAAGCCATGTTTGGTAGCTTTGTATCATTACAAAGCTGTGAGAGAGATAGTCATTTGTCTTGTAACCTTAGTATTATTTTTGCTCATTGTTTTCTTATAGCGACACACTGCTTTGTAATTTTTCTTCAACACAATGTACTTGTTCCTCTTATAAATTGCATCTTACTCTTCTTGTATTTAAAAAAAAATAATAAAAATTGTAACTAATTTATAACCAATAGAGGAGCAAAATATGTAAATCAAATATAAGTCTCTTAAACAAAAAAATGAAGAAAATTATTAAGAAAAAATGTTGTGATACCCATATGAAGGTATCACTAGTGGAGATGCTCAGAGCTTCTTCTCCGACAATTCTTTTTAATAGATCTGTACCTTTTTTTACTTTGATTGCTAGAATAAAAATGAAAATTAGAGCTTCGCATTTTAGACTAATTTATGTCGTTGATTTGAACTCCTGTTACTATCATCCGTGCCAGCGAAACGAGGAGGTCAAGCCCGGAAGTCTTCTAAATCGAGTTTAGACCTACGCGTATGGTGACCACTTTTCCCTTGACGTAAAAATATATGACTTACCTAAATCTTGTATTAAGTTCCCACCATGGATTCTAAAACATTTATGATAAGATCGATCAGACCACCGAAGTCTTCTATTAAGAGTTAAGACAAAAGTTTTACAAACTGCCCTTGGCAGAAAAAAATTAAATTACGACTTTTCTACCCTCCCGCTACACCATAAATCATCATAATTTCTCATGCACTAAAATATTAAAACCAAACCCAAATTTTTCTAAAAGAATATATAGACTACAGAGCCATGTTCGTAAAGCTCCTCGCCATGGTCTTCTTTTCCTTTAGCCTACTCTCTCCTTTCCTAAAATCCTCTTCCCAAAGTCTTGACTTCACTTACAATGGCTTCCGTCCTCCACTAACTGACATATCTCTCCAAGGTATCGCCACCGTCACACCCAACGGTTTATTGAAGCTAACCAACGCAACCACTCAGAAAACCGGTCACGCATTCTATACCAAACCAATCCGGTTCAAAGATTCTCCAAACGGCAACGTCTCGTCCTTCTCTACAACTTTTGTCTTCGCCATCAACCCTCGGCTCCGGGTACTCAGCGGCTTGGGCATGGCCTTTGTTGTCGCTCCTAAGGCAAGCCTCCCGTATGCCCATGCCAGCCAATACATGGGTCTCTTCAACGCCACAAACAACGGGGATGACACGAATCATGTGTTCGCTATCGAATTAGACACGATTCCGAATTTGGAGTTCTACGATATGAACGAGAACCATGTCGGAATCGATATCAACAGCTTGATGTCGATAAACAGTTCGAGAGCTGGATACTGGGACAAGACTGGTCAGTTTAAGAATCTGACTTTGATTAATAGTAAGCGGATGCAGGTTTGGATCGATTACGATGGTCTTTCGCATAGAATCGATGTGACGATGGCTCCGTTCAACGAGGATAAACCTAGAAAACCGCTTGTTTCTACTGTCAAGGATCTGTCTTCGGTTCTTTTGCAAGACATGTTCGTTGGTTTCTCGTCTTCCACCGCCTTAATTATATCGTCGGATCATTTTGTTCTTGGGTGGAGCTTCGCAGTGAAGGGAAAAGCTCCGCCGTTGGCCTTATCGAAACTTCCGAAAATTCCGAGGTTTGGGCCCACCAAAATGCAGAGGTTCTACAAGAACAGGATGAGGCTAGTTTCCCTCGTGTTGATTCCGGTCTTGTTTATATTGTCGATCGTATTCCTGGTGCGATTCATTGTGAGGAGGAGGAGAAAGTTCGCGGAGGAAATCGAAGATTGGGAAACAGAGTTTGCCAAGATTCGGTTGAAGTTCAAAGATTTATACTACGCCACCAAAGGGTTCAAGGAGAATGGCCTTCTCGGATCAGGCGGCTTTGGAAGCGTTTACAAAGGTGTCATGCCCAAGACGAAGAAGAAGATCGCCGTGAAAAGAGTCTCCAACGAATCCCGACAAGGGTTGAAGGAGTTCGTGTCTGAGATCGTGAGTATTGGTCGGATGAGTCATCGGAACTTGGTCCCTCTCTTGGGTTATTGCCGCCGGAAAAACGAGCTTCTTCTCGTATACGACTACATGCCCAATGGAAGCTTAGAAAAATATTTGCACGATAGTCCAGAGGTAACACTCGACTGGAAACAGAGGTTTAAGGTCATCAAAGGTGTGGCCTCTGCTTTGTTCTTCCTCCACGAGGAATGGGAACAAGTGGTGATTCACCGCGACATCAAAGCCAGCAACGTCTTGTTAGATGCGGAGCTCAATGGAAGACTCGGAGACTTCGGTTTAGCTCGGTTGTGCGGTCATGGCTCGGATCCTCTAACCACGCACGTCGCTGGAACATGGGGATACCTAGCCCCCGATCACATCAGGACAGGACGGGCCACGACCGCAACCGATGTTTTTGCGTTTGGGGTGCTCCTACTTGAAGTGGCGTGCGGTAGACGTCCTATCGAGTATCAGAACGAGAGTGGTGAGAGGGTCTTGCTGGTGGATTTGGTTTATGGGTTTTGGAATGAGGGAAACATTTTGGATGCTAAGGATCCGAATATAGGGTCTGAGTATGAAGAAAGAGAGGTTGAGATGGTATTGAAGCTAGGTTTGTTGTGCTCTCATTCCGACCCACTAGCTAGACCAACTATGAGACAAGTGTTGAATTATCTAAACGGAGATGCAATGTTACCAGATTTGTCACCATTAGACTTGCGTTGGAACGAGATGATGCTGGGAATCCAACACAGAGTTGGTGAGTTAATCATGTCTAACGGTGGATCTTCGATGGTTGACTCGATACTCTCAGACGGAAGATGATTATGTACGGTTGTGGCTTACAATTCATATGTATGTATTGAAAGAAATGTATGTATATTGCATATCATATTTATGTGTTTTTCTGTTTCAAAAGACAGTGGATATAGGCTTCAATAATAGCCATTTTAAAAACTTCAATAATAGTCATTTTTCATAGCTTTCTTAGTTTAGTATTCTGGCGAGATCGTATAGGACTTGAAATGTCTGAATGATATAATAAATCCAGTTCATCAGGATCTTGAAGAGAATTGATGCTTCCTTGGGGTGCTGAAGATGTTGAAATCTTCCGCATTCATCCGTTAACAACGCTGTCTCTGTGTTGCATCAGAAATGTTATAAGAAAAAAAAACTAGCAATTATAACAACAAAGATGCACATAAAGTTTCTCACCTCAAACTTCCCATTAGAAACCTTCAAATTCATCGCTGGAATCATCTCCATTTTCACAAGGATCATAAGGGACAAGAGGTGAATCAGAATTTGAGAGATAGTAAACCTCAGTTCAGTTCAGGTGCTGCCGCAGAAGAATATTGATTCCATGAGATTACACACAAGAAACACATTACTATCCTCCAATCAAAGTCTATCCAAATGTGCGATTAGCTCATCTAATCTGCGCTAATGATGGATGATTTACAGATATTCTAACAAGACGCTAACAGATACCAAGACAATAGGTCTTGTTGGAGAAACTTTCAGGTTAATTTGTATCTGACTAACACCTTTTAAGAGCTTCTTCTCCAACAATTTTTTAATAGATTTGTACCCTTTTCTAACTTGCATTGCTGAAAATATAACGTTTCATAATTTAGAATAATTTTTGTCGTTGATTTGATCTCCAGCTACTAGTCTTCTACTACAATCAGTGACAGCAAAACAAGGTACGAGAGGTCACCATGGATTCAGAATCGAATTAAATTTATGGTCACGACGTCTTTCCTCGACTCGACGGAAGAAAGCTCAGACTTTTCTACACTCTCTCCACACCGACGGAAGAAAGCTGAGACTTTTCTACACTCTCTCCACACCATAAAACCGTCCTAGTTTCTCATGAACTCTGGATAACGTAACCAAACCCAAATTTTTCAACAAGAAAGTAGAGAGACTAGAGAGCAATGTTGGTCAAGCAGCTTGTCTTCTTTTTCTTTAGCCTAATCTCTCAATTCCAAAAATCGTCTTCCCAAAGTCTTTACTTCATTTACAACGGCTTCCGTCCTCCACTAACTGACATATCTATCCAAGGGATCGCCGCCGTCACACCCAACGGTTTATTGAAGCTAACCAACGCAACCACTCGGAAAACCGGTCACGCTTTCTATACCAAACCAATCCGGTTCAAAGATTCTCCAAACGGCAACGTCTCGTCCTTCTCTACGACCTTTGTCTTCGCCATCAGCCCTCAGCTCCGGATGCTTAGCGGCTTTGGCATGACCTTTGTCGTCTCTCCTAAGCCCAGCCTCCCGTACGCCGGTGCCAGCCAATACATGGGTCTCTTCAACGCCACTAACAACGGTGATGACACAAATCATGTGTTCGCTGTCGAATTAGACACGATTCCGAATTTGGAGGTCAATGATATGGACGAGAACCATGTCGGACTCGATATCAACAGCTTGATTTCGATAAACAGTTCGAGAGCAGGATACTGGGACAAGACTGGGCAGTTTAAGAATCTGACTATGATCACTAGTAAGCCGATGCAGGTTTGGATCGATTACGATGGTCTTACACATCAAATCGATGTGACGATGGCTCCGATCAACGAGGATAAACCTAGAAAACCGCTTGTTTCTACTGTCAAGGATCTATCTTCGGTTCTGTTTCAAGATATGTTCGTTGGTTTCTCGTCTTCCACGGCCTTAGTTATAGCGTCGGATCATTTTGTTCTTGGGTGGAGTTTCGCGGTGAAGGGAAAAGCTCCGCCGTTGGCCTTATCGAAACTTCCGAAAATTCCGAGGTTTGGGCCCACCAAAATACAGAGCTTCTACAAGAACAGGTTGCCATTATTTTCCCTCGTGTTGATTCCGGTCTTGTTAATCTTATCGATCGTATTCCTGGTGCGATTCATTGTGAGGAGGAGGAGGAAGTTCGCCGAGGAGATTGAAGATTGGGAAACAGAGTTTGCCAAGATTCGAATGAAGTTCAAGGACTTGTACTACGCCACCAAAGGGTTCAAGGAGAAGGGCCTTCTGGGATCGGGCGGGTTTGGGAGCGTTTACAAAGGTGTCATGCCCAAGACAAAGAAGAAGATCGCCGTTAAAAGAGTCTCCAACGAATCCCGACAAGGGTTGAAAGAGTTTGTGTCTGAGATCGTGAGTATTGGTCGGATGAGTCACCGGAATTTAGTCCCTCTCTTGGGTTATTGCCGCCGGAAAAACGAGCTTCTTCTCGTGTACGACTACATGCCCAACGGAAGCTTAGATAAGTATTTGTATAATAGTCCGGAGGTAACGCTCGACTGGAGACAGAGGTTTAAAGTCATCAAAGGCGTGGCCTCTGGTTTGTTCTTCCTCCACGAAGAGTGGGAACAGGTGGTGATTCACCGCGACATCAAAGCCAGCAACGTCTTGTTAGACGCGGAGCTCAATGGGAGACTCGGAGACTTCGGTTTAGCTCGGTTGTGCGGTCACGGCTCGGATCCTCTAACCACTCGCGTCGCTGGAACATGGGGATACTTAGCCCCTGATCACATCAGGACAGGAAGGACCACCACCACTACCGATGTTTTTGCGTTTGGGGTGCTCCTACTTGAAGTAGCGTGCGGTAGACGTCCTATAGAGATCCAGAACGAGATTGATGAGAGGGTCTTGCTGGGTGATTTGGTTTTTGAGTTTTGGAATGAAGGAAACATTTTGGATGCTAAGGATCCGAATATAGGGTCTGAGTATGACGAAAGAGAGGTGGAGATGGTATTGAAGCTAGGTTTGTTGTGCTCTCACTCCGACCCATATGCTAGACCAACTATGAGACAAGTGTTAAATTATCTAAACGGAGATGCAACGTTACCAGATTTGTCACCACTAGACTTGCGTGGGAATGGGATGATGATGCTGGGAATCCACCACAGAGTTAGTGAGTTTGACATGTCTAACGGTGCCTCTTCGATAGTCGACTCGGTACTCTCCGGCGGAAGATGATTATGTACGTTTGTGTCTTACAATTCATATGTATACTGAAAGATGATTAAATAAATGTCTATTCATATTTTTTACATATATTTCTAATTTAAACATAAATAAAATTAAAAAAAAATTATACAAACAAATTATGTAACTAAAGTATGTGATAAATAAATATTTAAAAGTTGTACTACAAAATAGAGATACAGTAAATAAATATTTAACTCGAAATACTATATAGTTTTTTTATTATAAAAGTGGTAGAGAAGATTTATTGCATTTTCAAATGTTTTAAAAGTTGTAAAATAGAATTTGGTTAAAAGTTAAAACTAATGAGAAATTAGATCTAGAATTTTTTTTAAAAATAAAAATAAATAGAAAGTATCATTGCAATGGAAAATAGAAAGCATAAAATTTTAAGGATTATGAGTTGTTTATTTAAAAAATACAATTTATATAATTTAAAAAACTAACATAATAGAAGTAATTAATGGTCATTATGCTCATACGACACACGCTGCACAACAAAATATACATATTATTTTATATTACATTTTGAGCTGTAAATTTGATTCTACACAAAGCTTGAAATGAGAAGTTAAGATCTTAATAAAATATAAATAATCAGAATGGTTGGAATAACTCCAAATATAATCAGATGAAAATAAATAAAAAGTCACCATAATTTAAAGGGTTATTTTTAAAAGTAGTACAAAAATTGAGGTCAAATGCAAAAGTAGTTCACTCTTTTTTTCTTCCTTGTTTATCCTCACATATTTGTGATAATAACGAAAATGCCATTACTTTCGTCCTTGAAGTCTAACCGTGAAGTCTAATACGAAAATAAAAGTCCAAAGAAACCTCATCTTCTTCACTTATTCACGAAAATGCCATCACCATCAATTCGTCCAACAACCATTCTCAACCAAAATCAAGCTTTAATGCATGATTTACTCTTCAAATATATATACAAACTCATTATATCATCTCATAAACTTGTATTCTTCAATTTCTTCTCCATTTTCACCCCAAGAACACACATTTTCATCTTTTCAAAGTTTATGTTCTTAGATCTTCCCATTTTTGGTGTGGGAGATCATTATAACGGTTGGGGAAGTTTGCTGAAGCTCTAAATCGAAGTTCTAGGCCGTCAACGAAACTTAAGATCACGGCAAGGTAAAATTCCGGTAGATCTGAGTGAATTTCATATTTTTGCAGGTCCTTAGACTTCATAGCGAAGTCTAACAAACTAGTTTTGCAATTGATTTTCAAAAAATTTAGAGAGTAGACTTCACAATGAAGTCTACCCATATTCCTTTGAAAACAAAAAAATATGGCGTAGACTTCAGAATGAAGTCTACTCGAAAAGATTAGTTTTGCAATTGACAGAATAAAAACTTTTTATGAGAAGTCTATCCGTGAAGTCTGCTTCAAAAAAGACTAGTTTTGCAAACTTTAGTAGTTTGTTTTATCGTGAAGTCTACCCCTGAAGTCTATTAATGTTGTTTAGACTTCATTCAAAGTCTAATACTGCGTTAGACTTCATTGTGAAGTCTAATAAAGGGTTAGACTTCATTTCGAAGCCTAATTCTTGATAATAGTCAACGTTTATCGGAGTAGACTTCACGATGAAGTCTATTTTCTAAATTCAAAAATTCGATCAATTGCAAAACTAATCCTATGAAGTCTAATTCCTGTTGTAGACTTCACTGGTAGACTTCATTCTCTAGTTAGACTTCATTTTTAAGCCTATTCACGATAATGAAGTCTATTTGAAAAAGTCAAAGCTTGGTCAATTGCAAAACTAGTCTTTTTTTTCGTAGACTTCACGTGTAGACTTCATAAAAATTCGTCATTTGGAAAATTGCAAAACTAGTCTAT